TCTATTTCAATTAATCCCGTATGTTCTGTTATTTCATTTACGCGTTTCTCGTTTTACACGGTACTCCATGGGTTCAATTGACCACGTAAATGCAGACTATGCTGTACTTAAATGTACGTACTACACTATAGGAATAAAAAATTTTATTTCGTGCAAAATATATGATGTATACAGCTACTCCTCGACTTACGACATACTCGAGCTACGACCACCTGGACATACGACCGCCTCAGTCATACCAAAATTTTGTCAAATTACGTACAGGTAGACCCCGACTTACAATCACATGGACTTACGTCCATTGGTACTTACGACCTGCTCTGACCGTACGTCCGTCGGGACATACGACTGCGGCAGTCGTGACCAAAAATATTTTCAAATGACGTGTGCATTTTCTATACCGAAGCGTTTCCGTCCGGAGCGAGAGGGTGGCGCGTCTCGGGTCGCCTCGTGGGTACACTCACTCAGTGGAGCACTTTGTTTGTGTTTGGCTATCGTATCCTATGCTGATCGCGCTGTGAACTTTCGTTATTATCGTATTTAATTGACTTTATGATGACTGGAAAGCGTAAAAGTGAGAGTGCTGGTGGTGTTCCAAAGAAAAGGAGACAGGCAATTACTTTTGAGATGAAAATGAAGATAATAACACAGTATGAGAATGGAAAAACAGTAGCAACAATCTCACGTGACCTAGGTTTCTCACACTCGACTATATCCACTACAGTCGACCCTCGTTAATTCGGACTAATGGGGGGGGGGGGGTGTCCGTTTTAGCCGATTGTCCGAATTAACTGATTTAGGGGTTAATATTGCATAATATTGCATTGTACAGCAATGTGTATGTTTATTTGAGTGCCCCGTCATAGTTGTCCGTTTTCTCTCACTTCAGGATGCCTGAGTCGTCCGTTTTCTCTTAATCTTAGAGTGCACCAGAGACTTCATTATTCCCTAGAAGTGACACAGAATTTGATATTGCAACTGGGGTTGCAATTGTTGAGGCAACTTAGGTATGTCTGATTACAGTTGGAATATTCAAGATCCATTGTGAGTGATGTTTAAAGCTTCAACTGTCTTTATGGTTGGTAAAACTTGTCAAGTCTGTCAGTCTGAGTGGCATGTGTGAGGCCTTGTGTTTGTACAACTGCTAAATATATAAATATATAATGTTATGGTAATTATCAGAAACACACATAGGCATGACTAGGTTTATTACAAAGTGATGGAAAGGATACTGTACAGTGGGTAGTCCGCAAAACATGTAGCCATGTCTCTTTATTTGAGTGCCCCATCATAGGAGTTCGTTTTCTCTCACTTCAGGATGCCTGAGTCGTCCGTTTTCTCTTAATCTTAGAGTGCAGTGCACCAGAGACTTCATTATTCCTTAGAAGTGACACAGAATTTGAAATTGCAACCCCAATTGCAACTGGGACAATCCCAGAACCAGAAATTTGATACGGACAGTTCAGATTTCATCCGAATTATCCAAAATACAGATTAAAGGGGTCCGAATTAACTAGGGTCGACTGTATATTCTGAAGGACAAGGAACGTATTCGTGAAGTAGTGAAAGGAACAACACCTATAAAAGGAACTATAATATCAAAGAGAAGACAAGGTCCTATTCACGATATGGAAAAATTATTGGTGATATGGATAGAAGACCAGATTCAGAAGCGTGTACCCTTAAGCCTTCTAACCATACAGGCTAAAGCAAGAAGCCTGTTCCAAAACCTGAAGGAGCAGGCAGGAGATGAATGTGATCAAACCTTTACAGGAAGTCATGGGTGGTTTGATAGATTTAAAAAACGCTACAGTCTACACAATGTTAAGGTCAGTGGAGAGGCAGCTAGTGCTGATGTTGGTGCTATTGCGAACCACGCCATCTATTGTGTCATGATCTAACTACCCAGCACTACCGAGCAACGCCATCTAGGGACGCGACCCGAGTATGACTAGTCTTAGTCACCACTCCGGGTTTCCTTTCTCCATATCCTGGTTGTTGCGTCACCTCCTCCAACACTTCCTCATCAGCTCCGGATCGAGGAGAGTTCAGTTCACTCTGGGAAGTGACCACACTTGGATTACCTATCCTGGAAACCTACGGCACAGTGACTACCTACCATCTTCTTCAATACTCAGCCCTACTCGTCAGACACTTCAGCACCGCACTTGAGTATTGTAACCCTATATTACCTCCCACCTCCACTTGCTTCAGATTGTTGTATGTTGTATAAATATGTATATACTGTTAAGCCAATGTTGCGTATGTTTAAGTTAAGTATGGTTAAGGGTAAATTATAGAAAGCTGGATATTTTGTTAAGGAATTTATGGTACTTTATTATACACAACAAAAACTCGCATCCTTTGTCTACCCTTTTATAGTCCGATTGTCTTTGTTTGTTTAGTTTTTTTATTGTTGTTGCCTGTTGGGATCTGGGTAGACTTTTAACTATATTCTAAACCAGTTTCTAAATCCCCAACTCGTAACAGTGCTGCCGAAGCTTTTAAGGAGGAGTTAGATGAAGTGATTGTGGAAGGGAATTATTTCCTTGAGCAAATATTCAATGTGGATGAGACTGGATTATTGTGGAAGCGCATGCCTGAGCGGACCTACATCCACAAAGAGGTGAAAACAATGCCAGGATTCAAGGCATTCAAGGACAGATTTACACTTCTGTTGGGGGGGGAATGTTGCTGGTTTCAAGCTAAAGCCCTTCATGATCTATCATTCAGAGAACCCCAGGGCTTTTAAACATGTCAGCAAGCACACACTGCCAGTGTTTTATCGCAGTCATAAGAGAGCCTGGATGACCCTATTACTGTTTGATGATTGGTTCATGACTTGTTTCATTCCACGAGCCAAGGAGTATTGTCTGCAACAACAGATTCCATTCAAGATTTTACTGATTTTCGATAATGCTCCGGGACACCCACCACACCTGGACGATATGCACCCTGATGTTAAGGTAGAGTACATTCCACCTAACACTACCTCTATCATCCAACCCATGGATCAAGGTGCTATTGCTGCCTTTAAAGCGTATTATTTACGCACGATCTTTGCTCCGGCTGTTGCTGCTACTGAAGGTGAATAAACGCTCAGAGAGTTTTGGAAGGAGTGCAACATTTTGTCATGTATAAAGAACATTAGTGCAGCATGGGATCAGGTTACAAAACATTGCATGAATGGAATATGGAAGAAAATCCTGAAAAGATATGTGAACAGTTTCAAAGGATTTAATGAAAATGAAGTTATTTCGGATATTAGTAACAAGATAGTGGAGTTAGGTAAACAGCTGGAGTTAGAAATTGATAATGAAGATTTTGGACAGTTGGTTGAAAGTGTAGCAGAAGAGCTCAGTAACGAGGATCTTATTGAACCAGATGCACAGAAAATTGCAGAGGAAGAAGAGAGACAAAATGTAGAAGAAGAACCTGCACCCCCCAAAAAGTTTTCAGTGAAACATATGGCAGAGGCATTTGCTACAATTAATAAAGGAATGCAAATGTTTGATGGCATGGATCAAAATTATGAGCGTTATGCCAAAGTTGACAGAATGGTCCAAGAGTCACTGGCTTGCTACAGGGAGATTTATAATGAAAAGAAAAAGCAAACTGTGCAGTCCAAATTGGACATCTATTTCAAGAAGTCCCCCAGTGCTGCCTCTTCACTCCCTCAAGATGATCCAATACCTTCAACCAGCAAGTTTCCACAGCACATAAACCTGTCTGAAGAAAGCGACACTGATGACCCACCCAGCCCTGTCTCCTCTTCTGCTTCTTCCAATTAATATAGTCTCCATGAATCCTGTAAATAGAAAATTATGGGGGCCCTGTGTGCACTCAGATGACTACATTTAAGGTAAGTGCTCAGTCACACTATCCATCCCTCATTATTTATTACTTTTACTGTACTGTAGCCATTCCTCATTATTTATTACGTTTAGTGTACAGTATTTCATTGTAGATTTTTAATTTTTTTTGACAAAAAAGTACAGTATTTGTGAAATTTTTTTTTTTTTTTTAATTTTTTTTATTGAAATTTTTTTTTATCTATGACGGACTTACAACTTGGATATGGATCCCTAACCCCGTTGTAAGTTGGGGAGCTCCTGTATTTTCGAGTCCCAATGTCAGTGTTTGCGCTTTGTACTGACAAAATTTTCATTTTTAATTCACTTTAAAATGGCTGGGAAGCTTAAAAGTGAGAGTTTTGTGTTGCTGAGAAGAAAAAGAGACACCCATTTTAGATTTTCTATGTATTATTTAAGCATTATCGACTTACGACCAATTCGACTTACGACCTGGATTTGGGTCCCTAACCCCGCCGTAAGTCGAGGGGAGCAGCTGTATATTCAAATTATTCGCTGTCTTGCTAGGATTCCATCAATGCAAGTTATATTCTGCTGAGACACAACTGGCGCCTCACACCTGCATGGGTCATGCTTTGGCCGCGTCAGGTAATGTTTGGCGTCACTCTGGGTATGTCACATTTTTATTAAATTTTTTTCTGATTATTTGTGAGAGTATTTTCCAATTATTATTTATTTGTATGTGTTTTGTGTGTGTGTGTGTGTGTGTGTGTGTGTCTACACACACACACACAAAAACACATATATACAATACAGGTAAAAGAAATAATTGTCCTAAGGGCAAACACATAAAGGGAATATGCTGTACATTTCTTTTTACACAAGTAAAAGTAAAAATGTACCCCCCCCCTCCCCTCCACCCCCGATCTGCACCTGGGGCCTGCTGACTCTCGGGGTGAGTGATTTGAATTTTTTCCCCAGACCCAAATTCATAATAAGGTGGAAAACTTTCATATCTTGATATAGTGGTGTCTATTTAGGAATTTCATATAAGTGAAATTTTGTATCTCAATCGTTCGTATTTCAAGGGACACCTGTATATATTTGAAGAATAATTAAAAGTGCATTGTATAGATTTTTAACGGAGGCAGTGATTTGATTACTAATTTTATTATATTCTTTTCACAGAACACGTGCCTTTTGACAAGGATCACTTCAATAGTAATATGTTGGAGAGAAATGCCCCACTGAAACACTTCAACCTACAACTTATGGTGCGTTATATAGATGTTTTCTTACAAGTATCTCTTTGTGACCAGTACTCTTATTGTATAGTTCTGTGGCATACTACAGTACATTATTTGTGGCCTTTTCCTTAGGAACCGTTGGCGTTTTTAAGTGACTACTGGATTGTGATGGGAGATGAACGAAGATCTCTAGCCTATGCCAAAGCAGCTGCTACCATCAAGTGTCTTCCCTTTCCTGTAACAATGATGGAACAGGTATGATAATGTGATCTGGCATTACCTTTAGCGTTAGGAAAATGAAGGAAAAGTAACCTTTATCTCCAGAAATGGAGGGACATATAGTATCTCCAGAAATGGAGGGATATATAGTATCTCCAGAATTGGAGGGAGATATAGCCCATATCTCCAAAAATGGAGGGGGAGGTAGTCCTATCACCAGAAATGGAGGGAGATACAGCCCTTATCTCCAGAAATGGAGGGAGATGAAGCAACTGAGAGGCAGAAAGTGAACTGCTAGTGTGGCTAATTGCCTTCTCCCCTAAGTGGGAACTCATACTCTTTAGGATCCATTTTAGAAACTTTGGTGAGTTGGAATGGTCTGAATATTTCAGGAAATAGTTCCAGCTACCAATAAATAGAGCATCCTTGGTGTAGACCTGCAACCTTGTGTGTGATCCTTGAGTCAACTAATCAAAGGTTAACTGGCCTTAAACAATCCTTTACATGTAGTAATGCTCTCAACCCACTTCATATTTTACTACATACAATCTTTCAAATTTTCCCGCTATTTATATACTGTGTTGAAAATGTTTTTGGAGTAGTTGTACTTGTTTTCAACTAATTTTTATCATTCTCTACACATCTTACATATCTCTCTTAATGACAGCTTTTCTCTTTATTGAGGTCTTTGTGCCTCTTGATCCATGCCAAGTAACAGTAGGAGAGGCGTTAAGGTAAAAGATCCATACATATACAGCTCACCTATTTCAAATACAGATTTATGCACTGCAATTATGTCGACATGATAGAAAAAACAACAGGTTTTGTCCGGTGTAATGAAATATTTTAAAATGACAAGCATCCTTCTTGTAACAGTTTAGGCTTGCCTGGAAAATGGAGTGCTATAAGAAACAGCTCAGTAAGAAGTCAGTATAGAGTAACATAGTTCCAGTGGAGATGTGTTTGCCTCTAGGTAGTAGGCAGCTATCAATAGGGAGGTACTACACATTATGGAAGCATAATGTGTTGTCTAATGGTAGACCCTGCTGTCATATGGCATCACAAAAATTGTGACCAAGTCCCAGGTTGCTAATCTGACTTTGTGCCTCATTTACACACAATTGAGGGTCTCAGTTGTTTCTCTTGCTTTGACATCACACAGATACGGTGAACCCTTGTTTAACCGACCTATATGTGGGAAGGGGTGGGTTGGAAAAGCCGATAAATCGGATAATTGAGGCACTGTACAAAAAATATGTTATTGCACATAAGATAATCACTTGAGATTAGGTAATAATCATATGTGAGAGTAAAGAGTGCAAATATATGTAAATATAGGTGCAATATACAGCTCCTCCCCGACTTACGACGGGGTTAGGGACCTAAATCCAGGTCGTAAGTCGGAAATGCTTTAATAATACATAGAAAATCTAAAATGGGTGTCTCTTTTTCTTCTCAGCACCACAAAACACTCACTTTTAAGCTTGCCAGCCATTTTAAAGGGAATTACAAAATTTTTTTTTGTCTATGTACTGACTTTGGGACTCGAAAATACGTAATTTGACCAAATTTGGGTATGACTGAGGCAGTTCGTAAGTAAATTGCTTTTCTTCTAATTTTCAAGAAGTTGGAAGTCTCAGTGTCTTTCTTTTCACTTTTGCATTCTCACCAATATCAAACTTCATGGAAAACTACCTTTATTTTTCTTAAGATCTTTCTCTGTTTTCACACCAACACCATACTCAGCAGCTAACTTAGCAATGGAAGCACCAGAGTCTACTTTATCTAAAATCTGCATTTTCTTCTGATTATTGCAACATGCTTCCCCTTCACTTCATGCTTTTAGAAGACATTCCTGGAAAAGATGGAAAGAAATAAACTTAGAAAATCTAAAGCTTGCACTTTTTCAACAAAAATAACGAAATGCACTTTACAGTACAGCGATCCCTCGGTTAACGAACGCCTTGATTAACAAAATTTCGGTTAACGAATTACCTTCCATAAGATTCTTCACTTTGGTTAACGAAAAAATTTCGGTTAACGAATTCCTTAGGAATTTTTCCCAACATGTTTTCGCTTGCATTTGACTGTTCACCAGCTTTAGTATTAGTCCGCCAATACAGTAATCGGTTCTAGGGCTTAAATTCCTTACCATTTTAGTAAATATCAAGAAGGTTGTACTATTCAATAATTTTAAAAGTTTTATATTAAATTTTTTGTAATTTTAACAATTATTGAACATACCGTATATCTCGGCTTATAAGACGGAATTTGAACATTAAAAAAATCTGCCCAAAGTTAGGGGGTCGTCTAAACCACCAAGTATAAAATTCTTACCTCTTAAATATTGTGGTTTAGTTTGTCAAGAGTGGTGATGGAAACATCGTAAGCCACTCACAAGGTCTTACCACTAATTATTTTATACTGAAACTTACGTTTGGCAAGCTGGATTCAAATTAAGATTACCGGTATATTAAAATAATAAAAATGTATTATAAACCTGTCTAACATACCGTAAAAGAGAATTATACCCCTGTAATAAACACAGCTATCATCACACACCCCTCCCCACGCCCCCCCCATTTGCCAGTGAGGAGACAAGAAAGGGAAAGTGACCGCGAGATTGGGCTATTTTTAGCCGTGGAGGTGGTCAGTAATGCATATCGGTATATTTACTGATAATAATACTTAAAATTTATTTTTTTACAAGGAATATTCAGTAAATGACTGCATTAATTCTTGAAACTACTGACAGTTAAATACAGACGCTTAAGTGACGTCACTAGTGTTTACACTACACCAGCTGGTAACATTTGATGCCATTACTTGAAGTGAATTGGCCTTATTTAAAGTAACTAACCATAAATAAATACAAAAAGTAAAAAAAAGATCAAAAGTGAGAAATAATATACTGTATGTATGTTGTGTTGTCAAAGTTAGAGGAACAATTCAAACTGCAATTGTGTGTAAATGAGGCAGAAAGTCAGGTCAGCGCTGAACCTGGGACTTGGTCACAATTTTCGTGATGCCATATGGCAGCAGGGTCTACCATTAGACAACACATTATGCTTCCAATATCTTCCCAGGCGGTAGTATCTACCTGTTTGGTAGCTGCCTACTACCTACACAATTTTTAGTAATATTACTTTGATACATGATAAATTAGACAATGAAAATAAACATCAAATTTAATTACCAAGACGCTTCCCATTGGCAGCTGTAAGAAGAGGGGGAGATGGGCTACTTTTATCCCGTCTTTGTGTCTGAAGTGGCCAGTAATACCATATATTTACGGTATCTCCTATAAATAATCAATTTAAAATTTATTTTTTACATAGAATATTCAGTAAATGACTTTTAAATAAATAAACAAATAATTCGGTAAATCTATTTCAAGTAAATGGAAAATAAGCAAACAAATGTTATTCACCACCACCCCTTCCCTCTGGCTCAGAGTGAAATGGAGGGGAGATAAAGAAGGCTATTTATAGCCCGTCTTTGTGTCTGAAGTGACCAGTATCCTAATGCACCATAAATAATTCATTTAACATTTATTTTTTGTACATATATTTTGTTGTATATATATATATATATATATATATATATATATATATATATATATATATATATATATATATATATATATATATATATATATATATATATATATATATATATATATATATATATATATATATATATATATATATATATCATGTAAATCCACAATGAAAATGTGGCTAAGATAAATCTTGTTAAAATCATACGGGAAAATGGAAACAACGGAGCACCTTAGCTTTCGTCTTTATTCAAGACATCTTCAGAGGCAACTGGATTACATGGACAGAGAGAGGTGTTGATTATATATATATATATATATATATATATATATATATATATATATATATATATATATATATATATATATATATATATATATATATATATATATATATATATATATATATATATATATATATATATATATATATATATATACAGTGGTACCCCACTTAACGCGGTCAATTGAACCCAGAGGGTCCCGCGTTAAGTGAAAACCGCGTTAAGTGAATAACAGAACATATGGGATTAATTCCAATAGAACCCAGCCCGACCCCCAAACTCCACTTTTTGACGACAAATATCTATGTTGTAGTAAAAATAACATCTTAATTTTATGATGGTACATGCACACAATTAATACTTAAGAGAAATAGAGAAATACAGTCGCCAAGTTAATGTCCATTCAAATAATGGACTCAACTCCCTCTCCCTCTCACACTACACAGCCGGCTAACAGATGGTCGGTCGGTCCCTCCCTCCCCCCCCCACCCCCCACCAACCGTCCCAAGGAGATGTGTGGGATAACCTCAAACTAAAGTTAGGAAAATATAATTGACATTGCTGGATTCCTTGTAAGACCAGGAATATTTTGAATATAAATGTCATATATTTTGGACAAAAGATAACATACTTACTCAGATTAAACATTTTATCTAAAAATTGTATGTTTAATGCAAAAAATATGTTGTTTATATTTAAAATGATCACCAAATTATAAGAATTCCAGCAATGTAAA